TTGAATCACTATTTTTTTCTAACACACTCTCTCTTTGTATTTCATTTTCAATTGTTTGAAAGCTTTAGTTTACTATGTAATGTTGCATTTCAAACAATGCATAATATTTCCATTTATGGAATGTTTATAGTCTCACACAAAAACCTATTTAAACACTTTGAAATAGTAATCAATTTAAAAACCGACTAATAATATATTTAGATAAAATGTAATTGCACTGAATCCAGTGGTTTAGAATGTTGAATGTTCATTGAATACACAAATTAATCCTCCGGAAAAATAGAACATGTGCTTCTTTTGTAAAAAAGCAATTGAAGCTAGTCAAAGGGTAAATATTTAGTTAAGCATGCCCAAAGATGGTGGATAATATTTCCATAGATATAGAGAAATACATACTAGTAGATAAAATCCAAAACTATTATTTCAGTATTCTCCCATTTAAAAATGTTTGAAATATATATATACAACATATTTTTGCTTGGAAGAATGAAATATTCTAGATGTAATGATCACACAAATACAAGCAGCCTTTCCAAATTCTTCGTGATAGCAGAGAGGGTTAAAACTGTATATTTGTGTGACTATTATGATATTGATTTATATGATAGTCTACATACCACTGACATTGCTTTGAGGCCACACCTGTCTCTAATTTATCACCATTAACTCAGCCTATTTATACAGGCATGGGCAAAACAGTATGACAAATGGCCTCTGATTTGAAGGACTTTCTGTACTACCTAAGGGAGATGAGCTTTAATAAACCAAAACAAATTAAAGTTAAAAATAAAAATAATGAAAGAATATATAATAGTTGATGATAATATCAGATATATTATGAACAATAACCTAATTGATGACACAATTGTAGGTGTTCGGGGAGGGAATGAGCATAGAAGGTAGAAAGTTAAATGCTTCCTAGAAAAGAAGAGGTGGAATCTGTACCAGGTTGAGTATCAGGGCATCCAGGGTAAAGTACCATTAAGAACTTTGTATATGATTTCAAATATTTCTGTCTGTAAATCAATCTTCTTTTTTTACTTTTGCATTCGTATGCCTGATAAATGAAATACATGTTTTACTCTATAAAATACTCAGTTATCTTCTCTGTTTCTAATTAACCATAATGTCGACATTGAAAAACTTCACCTATTAGGTGAGAATTCCCTATTAAAATAGTTATAATTTAAGAACACAATTGAGAAAACAGGGATACGATAATGATTCATCATTGTATTTGTTTAATTTATCTACTAAAGGATTTTACTTTCATTAAACTTTAGAAGAAACCTTTTTAAAATGACTATTTCATACTTCTGAAAAATGGTTATTTTTGTTGTCCTGAGTGACAGACAGATATTTAATCAATTATAGCATGCACAACTTTTATCCAGGAAGTTTAAAATATCACTTTCAACTAAACAAATATGTAAAAGGAGATCTTCAAAATAATAAAACTGAAAGAAAACATCAGATGAACAGGAGAAATGTTCAGACATCAGATGAGAGCTTTTAATTTTTTCAAGTACTGTAGAGGAGATTGAAACTAGTATCAGTAATTATATATGTATTCTTTTATTGGTGTCCATGAGATTGTTACACAGGATTCAGTTTACTACGTTTCACTTCCTACAAAAGTCAAGAACTAGAGCTCTCCTCCAGCCCATTTCTCTAGGTATTATATTTTTCAAACTTCTATACTAATCCCTGCCCTGCAGAGAAATACTGCTTTCAAATACCTTATGACTAGAGGCATCCATTAGCAGCTAAATAAATGACAAGGAGATATCTTTCCATTATCTAAAAGCTGATCCATTCATTAAAGCCTTCCCGACCAGCAATAATTAGATGTTGCAGCTCAGTGATGTGCAGCATTGTTCAGTTCCCAAGTGTGTATCTCCCTGCAAACATAACCAGATGGGTATCTCCGATGTATCTAAAACATCATTGTACTTATTTAAACTGGTGTAAAAGAAGTAAACACCTTCCTAACAAGGCAAGTTAGGATCTTGAATCCACAAGAAGGAAAGTCTAAAGCTTTTTTTCACATTTTATTCAATAGCAAATTTCTGATGAGTGTCTATTCACCAAATGTTTAGACCTGAAAGATTTTCAAGTATGTTTTATTTCTTTCTTTTCATTCATTACTTTAATCTCTTTAGGCAAAACCTTCCTCCATGAGGGACATTCCTACACACACATATACACACACACACACACACACACGCATACATGCATATTGGTCCATTAAGTATCCTTCTAAGTGCATATACAAGATTGTGGCAATGATTCAAGTACTGAAAAGAATAGTAAGATAAGGATATATAAGCAGAACAGCTAAAACACTCCATTGAAAATCATATATTTTCAAACCAGTCATTTATACTCCTGGCCATTTTTCTATATCTAAGCAAAAATCTGTCCATAAATGTCTGTAGACTCTTCATTCATAATAGCAAAAAAAAAAAAAAACCAACCCTAGAAATACTGCTGATTTTATTACTCTCTGTTTTAAATTAGATAATATTTGCAATGTCCTTAGCATCATCAAAGTTGTAGAATCTTAACTGAAATGTTTGGGTAGATTCAGTGTCAGTAATAGATTATTTCAATTGGTTATGTCCTAACATGAACTTTCAAATTCATTCCATGTCTTGGTTGGAATTTCATGCATCTCTCATGTGTCCCATATTGTCTCTGCTGTCTGAAGTGTCATTTGCCTCATGACAATGGTGAACTTCCACCAATTTTCTAACACCCATTTCCTCCTTTAAGAATGCTTCCTCTCAGCCTGGTCTGCATGGATCAGTGGTTGAGCATTGACTGACCTATGAACCAGGAGATCAGGGTTCAATTCCTGGTCAGGGCACATGCCCAAGTTGTGGACCTGATCCCTAGCGTGGGGCCTGCAGGAGGCAGCTGATCAATAATTTTCTCTTATCATGGTGTTTCTATCTCTCTCTTCCTCTCCCTTTCTCTCTGAAATCAATAAAAATATTTTTTAAAAAAGGAGTGACCTTTCATATAATCTGTACTATCTCTACTGGTATAGCTACATGTTCCATCCATTTTATAACTAATATTTATAACATATGTTGCCAGTAAAACACAAATTAATGTCTATTGGACATGTCTATTTATGTGTAATGTATATCTTCAGTAACCATATAATTTATCATCCATATTGGAGCACTTTTGAAAGTAAAATGTAATTCTATTAGTGATGATGACAAGCTAACTGATGTAAATCCAGATGATAATTTAGCTCCTTGGACAAACTCACCACTAAATAATCATGTGGATTCTGGGGACCATCTATAATAATAAAAGTGTAACATGCTAATCAGACCAGTCATCCTTCCTGATGTCCTTCTGGACAACCTTCCAGATGACCTTCTGAACCAAGCTGGGGCTGCAGCTGTGGGATGGAGGCAGCCACCACGGCTGTGAGGGAGGGATCCAGGCAGCCGCCGTGGCTGCAAAGGCCTACTCTTGCACGAATTTCATGCATCGGGCCCCTAGTATATTATACTTAATTATATGTGAGGAAACTAGCAATTCACTTTTTATTTAATCAACGTGTATTTATGTTTTATGGAACTTGAATATGCAAATGAATCCTTTAACAACTCCATGTACATATACCCTGGTCATTGACTTTTGGTAACTCCTGTGGTACCAAGTTAACACGTTTCTGTCCCTCAGTAATTTGTTCCATCATGCTGGGGGTGAAACTGAACAGCACATTTTTGTTTTGCCATCCTGCTCCTATTCAGGGTCCAACAATAACGGACACTTGAGAGAGACTGAGAAGCTGGGGATGGGAGAAGGCCTCATTTTCCATTTGCCTCTTTTCCTTTAGCAACCTTGCTTCTTCACCATAGCAGTGGCAGTTACTTCCAATAGCAGCAGTTGAATCTAGTTTGCAGCTTTTTAACAACAGTCACAGGCACAGCATCACTGTTCCTCCTCAAACATGCAGGCACGTTGGTCTGGCCCCTCAGCTTCAGAGGTCTGGCTCTCTGCCAGCTCAGAGATCCCGGGACCCCCTCCTCAAAGCTTCCAGTTCCAGTTTGCGGAGGACCCTTTCTCCAAGCTTGTACATTTTAATGTTCCAAACCACTTTCTTTGTCCCATTCGCCCTAACGGTGGCAGGGGTTCTGTGCAATTGCTACCTTCAGGATACCTTACTATTTTCTCCATGTCTTTCCATTTACTTATTTAACACTGTCAACACTAATTAGGAATTATTTATATTATTTTGTTAAGTAACTAAATTATACAGGCACCTTCTACAGAGGTAATGTTGCTACATATTCCATAGAATATGTTTTTTTCCTCTCTCTATGGGATCATGTTCTCACTCTGTTTATTAAATAATTAACTACCAGCATAAAATCAATAACCAGGCCTATGTAGGAAATGTGATATTGGTATTTCTTATGACCTCATTTTGCCATCTTTAGCTCCATATCTGAAGGCTCTAAACAGAAAATATTAATATCATAAACTCTAATTTTTCCTGACTGTAAAATCTTATCTTTTTACCTTCATTGTTTTGGTAGCTTCTTTATAAATCATTCCCTTGATTATTTATGCCCTCTTTGAGGCCTTAATCATAAACAAACGGTCACAGGAAAGGAGTTACCATGGACAAACTTCAGCTTTATTCTAATATCAACCTTATTAATATCCAATATTTATTATATTTCTATTTTTAATCTTAATGCATAATATAGCAATTACAGTGGTAATTTAATATGTAAAAATATACAGAACTGTAAGGTATTAATAGCACTCATATTATGGTAAATTTCTACACACCTTCCTGTTTTAATCAGTGGAGTGCATTATTTAATTCAGCTCTTTTACTTAACATATTAAAAATAATTATCTATGTTCATATATATATATACAGTGTGGGGGCAAACTAGGTTTACAGTTGTTCATATGGAAGATAATATAATAATTAATAAATAAGAATACAAGAATGAACTCTAGTGCTCAGTTTGACAGCATATATGCTAAAATTGGAACAATACAGAAATTAGAATTGCCCCTGAGCAAGGATGACATGCAAATTTGTGAAGCATTTCATATTTAAAAAAAAAAGAACAAGAACAAGAAATTCTGTGTTTCTCATACACACAACTGTAAGCATACTTTTGTCTCACCTGTATTCACAATGGTCATTCTATGGCTAAAAAATATTCCATTAATTTGGTAAGTAAATATTTATGTAGCTATAGTTCAGCTTCTGGACATTTAATTTGGTTTCAGATTGTTTTGTCCATACAACCCACATCATAATGATATATATACATATATACATAATCATATGTATACACTTTTCTTTGAAATATGTCCTTAGAGAAAATATTGAGTCTGAGAGGATGAAGTAATGTGACTAATAACATCAGAAAGAATCTGTTATTCTGATGGGTTACCTCTAGGCTCATCCAAGAAAGAGGAAAATCATGCTGGAATTTTTCTATGTAGCCAAAAGATTTTGCATCAAAGTTGTTAATAAGAAATTTGGGACTATATTTTTCATGGAAAGCTTATTTATTGGTAATGCATTTTTCAGGCATTTGTTTAGTGGGACATGAAAAGGGCCAGTCATATTTGCATTCAATGTTCTAAAAAGTAATTAAGTTATTTTAGACTCAGTCAGCAAGTGAGATCAGGCTGTTAAATAGAGAGCAAGTTGAAGATTCTTAAAAACACTTGAATATTAAAAATCAAACTTACACTTGATAGTCTATTGAGACAGGTGCATTATTAACAGATCAGTGTTGTAGATACTCCATGTTATAAGTACATCCTTCTCATTCCCTTGACGATAGTGTGGCTATCCATTTTGTTTTCACCAATGAAATATAAGCTGAAGCAATAGATTTAATAAACTAGGTCAGAGGAGAAGAAGTACCTGGTAAATGAAAAAAATTAGGAAGGAAAACAAGAAGGTGTGAGGAAAAGTAATTCCAAAGAAACCAGTGATTAACGGAATTACTAGTAAGTTCTGATGAAAGAGCGAGGAAAGATCAGATCCAAAACCTGCACTCTTGGAACAGTAATAAAACAGAGATTGTTGGTCAGAGAATTTTCAGTGGTCTGATATAAATAAGAGCTAGATTGGAGTGGATTAAAGAATGAGTAAAAGTTGAGAACATGGACATCAATGGTTTGGATTGCTTTATCCAGAAGTTTGTTCATAAAGAAAGTGAAATAAATAAAGTGATAGTCAGGAGCACTGACCTCTTTTCCCTTAGATTGTCAAATAAAAAAAATGACAACAGCCAACACAACAATAGCCATCCGGTGTGAATGAATCAAAATTATTCCCATTTTTTTGTCAGATCAGCAAAAACTTTAATACATATTTTTGGTGTGCTGCAGAAATTTAGTAATTAGTTTATGTGTGTCATGAGATGAAAAACATTGAAAATTGCTGCTCCAATGTGATGGAATGTTCCTCCAAGATTAGGTTATAAATCATTGTGACTCCTTTCTTGTTCACTTTTTCTCTCTTGTTAGCTCCTACTTGCTCAAATTGATGAAGCCAGCTGCCATGTTGTAAGCTGCCTTAAGGAGAGGAATTGAGGACAGCCTCTGCCAACCAGCCAGCAAGGAACTGAAGCTCCCAATTCCAGAGCCTGTAAGAAATTGAATGCTGCCCACAACCAATTGAGCTCTGGTGGATCTTGGATCCTATAAATATCAAATATTGAGAGGATCCTGGAGTATATCAATATCAAATAATGATATGGCTACATTCCGGATGACACTTTGATTACAGTCTCATGAGAGTTCGTGAGGCTGAAGATTCAGGTAAACCACTGGCATATTCCTGCCTCATAAATATTATATACTGTAATATTCTAATTTTTGGATAATTTGTTTTGCAGCAATCGAAAACTGCTAAAATATGTCACACTAAGATCTAGAACCACCATTTTTTAAAAAAAATCAGTGAATAAGGCAAGGTTTTTCTGCTTCAAGTTATCACTACATCTTGAATGCAGGAAAAATATACTTTGGGAATCACTCATCTGATACAACAAAGAAATCTCAAAATAAAGTGTCCTTAATAAGGTTGATTTTTTTTCTTTCATATAACCATAAAGATTACCAAATTGTCCAGAGCTGAACTCGGATCAGTACAAGCAGCAGTGTTGCTGGTGAAAATTGTGTTCTTCCATGGGATTGCTAGAAAAGCAATCCAAGAACCCACACACAGGAGGTTGTGGTATGGCAAGATTTATTCCACAAGGCAGCCCCTGGATTTCCAATGTCCCATCTCAGCATCTGGCCATGGAAAAGGTCCAACGTTGTCTTCATTGAGGCCAAAACAGAGGCCAGTTTCCAGAGTTTCTGTTTCATATTTAAACTTAGAACTTCGAAGCCCAGCAACTTGCCGTGGGCCCCCAGTGACTGCTAAACCTGCACGGGCACACGTTCCCAGGTGAGAGACAACACAACAGGCAGTGCATTACCCCATGCGACAAAAAAGAGCTCTTCTTTGTTTCCCCGAGGTTAAGACTAGGAGATTTTTTTAAAATATATTTTATTGAATTTTTACAGAGAGGAAGGGAGAGAGATAGAGAGTTAGAAACATCGATGAGAGAGAAACATCGTTCAGCTGCCTCCTGCACATCTCCCACTGGGGATGTGCCCGCAACCCAGGTACATGCCCTTGACCGGAATCGAACCTGGGACCTTTCAGTCCGCAGGCCGAGGCTCTACCCACTGAGCCAAACCGGTTTCGGCAAGAGTAGGAGCTTTTTAAAATAACCAATCAGCTTCCCAAGCTTTCATGAGCTTCTGATAAGTCCACCCCCTAGCCATTGAACCCTTCCCCAGGTTACTGACGCAGGCTTCTATGGTCAAGCACAGCCCCCTGTGCCATTTTGATTTTCATTGTGCATGTACTTGCCTCCCTACAATCAGGGGCTGGGAGGTGGGAAAGGGAGGAATATTAATCCTTGGAGGGGCAAGGGACAGGCTCATGCTCCTCAGCTGTTAGGTTCAACAATGTCTCATTTCCTTTGCTTCCTTCCTTTATCTAGCTACCTATGCTAACAGTGACAGCACAATGCAGATTCCATCTACCTTGTTCTGCCGTCCCTTAAAGTGGTGCCTTATTTCACATGGTTAAAACTAGCTTACTGCAATTACATGTATGTCTACCACTGTTGGAAGGGATATGAGGATACAGAGAGTATGGACTTCTCTTATAAAAACATGGCACTGAAATGGTGTACATTTTTTCTGTTCACATACTGGTAGCCGGGACTTAGTCACATGCTACACTAAGCATCAAAGGAATCTTTGAAAGGAAGTTTCAAGCAGGAAAGCCATATTTCCATTAAAACCCTAAAAGCGAGCGTGGATTTTGGGAGGCGTGAGCAATGTCTGCCGCAGAAATCAATTCTGAATCTAAGACATTGGATATTCCTAAAGAAAGAATAACATAAATTAGGCAGACAAAACACATGAACAGACAACAAGGTCTAACAGAAACTGGCGTTTTCAAGAGAAAATGACACACCATGGCTTTGGTGTTGGGTTTTTGAAAGGTTTGAGGGAGCTTATTAAAATAGTTGAGTTCAGAAAGGTAGCTGGTTGTCTTTGCAGAAGATTTGAAAGCCCTACAAAGGAATTTTTGTTCTTAAGCAAGGTGGAAATATTTACTCGTTTTGAACAAAAGAGTAAAACAATGAAATTTGTGCTAAGAGGCATTTCAGGAAGCAAAGATTAGGATAGGTTGAACATGAAGATAGTTTTAAGCCATGTTATAATCTGTAGTTAAATTTTAAGGCACATTAGAAATAGAACCATGAAAGTGAGAAGGAAGACATGACATTTTAAATCTTTTATTTAAAACTGGAGGCCCGGTGCACAAAATTTGTGCATGGGGGGTGTGACCCTTACCCCAGCCTGCACCCTCTCCAATATGGGACCCCTTGAGGGATGTCCGACTCCCCATTTAGGCTCTATCCCACAGGGATTGGGCCTAGACGAGCAGTCGGACATCCATCTCACAATACAGGACTGCTGGCACCCAACCGCTCGCCTGCCTGACTGCCTGATTGCCCTAACCGCTTCTGCCTGCCAGCCTGATCACCCCCTAACCACTCCCCTGCCAGCCTGATCGATGCCTAACTGCTCCCCTAACAACCTGATAGCCCCTAACTGCCCTCCCCTGCTGGCCTGATCGCCCACAACTGTCCTCCCCTGCTGGCCTGATCGCCCACAACTGCCCTCCCCTGCTGGCCATCTTTGACCACATGGGAGTGGCCATTTTGTGAGGTGGAGTGATGATCAATTTGCATATTACCTCTTTATTAGATAGGATAGAATAGACTAAAACAGGATATGGTAGAATAGAAACAATACCACAAACAACATGACATAATGCGACATATAGTATAACAGAGCACAGCATATAACATAACAGGTGAATATAAGGAATAAGCCAGAGTGAAAATCTGACTATGACTCCAAAGTTCCCAGACTAAAATTCTCTCTGAACAGCAACTCTTTTGGGAGGAGGTAGTACAAAAGAAATGATTGCTGTGTTTTTGTTTTGTTTTTTAAAGGAGATAATGAGTTCTGTTCGGCATATGTAGAATATCAAGTATCTCTGGTATGATCTGACAGAAATTTGTGACTAAAATAGTAAATTATATTTTAGTTTGACAATGTTTACTGCCTTGGCTTTATTTTAGAACACGATACTTTTATTTGCTGAGTTGATTGATCTGGTAGTCAGTCTTTCACCAGGCCAGTATCTCCAGAACCTATTACCCAGTTAATGCATTTCTCTAGCTATTTTTCTCCCCATCAGCATGTGTTGGGCAATGAAGCACAAAAATTGCATATGGTGCCTTAATTTTAATACAGAAATATATTCTGCTTTACTGTTGTACTTATTGTCTTTCTTTTCCTGGAAGCTTATTTGATTGAATTTTTGGCTCTAATTAAGAAAGAAATAAACCAGTTTTTACCTTAAATAATGATTTTCCATTACTTGCTCTTCTCGAATAATATGAACTATGCACCTAACCAGACAGAAATTAAATTGCTTTGGGAGATTCTGAA